ACAATTGCTTCTTTTTCACCCATAGACAGCTCTCTGGTTTTCATGTTGGTTCCACCTCTAAATGCAGTCTGCACAGGCAAAACCTATCGTACCCAATCTGAAACTGAGCTCAGACATTCAGTGCTATTTATTGTTTGAATAATCAATGTAATTGGGAGACACCTGGGCAACAAAACACACCTGTCAGTCACATGTTCCAATACTTTTGCTCTCATGAAAAATGGGTGGGTTCAAACACAAGGTGCTATCTTCTAAGTTGTGTATCAGATCCAGATGTAAATACCTGGAAATAAAAGCTGAAATGTTGATCTCTTGTCCCATATTCATCTTTTGATGTCAAAACCAAATATTTTCAGTGTACAACAAAAATAAAGGAATTGGCCTCACTGTTCCAATACTTTTGGAGGGCACTGTATACCATCAGTGCTAATTCAAGATAAACTCCACCCTTGATCCTTTGCTATATCCTGCACAAGACATTCCCAGGGCTCTCAGAGGGTTTTGGTGTTCTTTCTTTCTGGCAACAGCAACTTAATTTACTGAACTGATTACTTAATAAGTTTACATTTCCCTGTGTAATACAGCAGATCTCCCTTTAGCTCTGCTCTAGTGAAGCTACTGTAAGTGTAGCCATGATTCAGGACCATCTTACTGCACCATCACTGCTGTTATCTCCTGGAACTTGGAGAAGTCAATGAACAAGTTCTTACTTCTTACTGTATGTACATTACCTAACCACCAAGGATGTTAGGTTTCCGTTTCGGGTAGGTTTTTTTTTTTTTTGTCAGCAGAATTAGGGAAAAACTACAGGCAAACTTGGTGGAAGGGTATAGCATGATAGCATGGGCCAAGCAAGAAAAACCCATCAAATTTTGGAGTGGCTCCAAATCACAGAGTAGATACACAAATTATTATTTATTATTATTTAAATTTCATTAACACTGCAAGATAAGGCATTTGGCCTTGGCAGTGGTCTGCACTCGCCTAGCTGCCTTCTAGTTATCCTTGTTGTTAACATCTTCCTGTAAACTGTTCTTGGAGCTGTGTGGAGGGACACTGAGAGCAACTTAAAACCATACCAACCACATACAAAATTTCTTGTATGTGTACACATACTTGGCCAATAAAGCTTATTCTAATGACCAGATGTGTTATACAAAGAATGTTAAAAATGCAAACTCACCTGAAGGTAGGTAATCTTCTACGCTATCTGTAAACTAGGGGGAAAATGTCATCAGGCTGATGTTAAGTAACAACACATGATTACTCGACAAAGAAAGGTCTTTTCCATTACGGTCGATACAAACTATGTTTAGTCAAAGATGCCACAAGATATCTTCCTTGCTCATTAACTGGAGTGCACTGTGTGCTCAGTGCTACCACTAGTACAGATGCCATATTACCTTCCAGCCTATATTAAAGAAAAATTAACAACATTTTTTGGAGGAGGATGTGGCCACTCAACTTACAGCTGTGTTGGGGAGGCAACAGTAAGTTTTAGTCAGGGTTTCAGAAACAGCACTCCACTAAAACTGCTCTTCTGAGAGTTTCAAATGATATTCTAATGTCCTCTTATGCAGGTGATTGTTTTGTGTTGATAATGTTTTTGAGTCATATTTGAGTGTGTTTTTGTTTTTAATGATTATTAATCTGTCCAACGAGATGAGTAAAGTTGTGTAAACAAAGGACAATCATCTGCTCTGAGAAGAGTTAAACATCCCATACTGGCTGAGCTGAGGAAGCCGTTCAGAGTTCAGGAACTAAGGCAAAGGCTAGGAGGTGGAGATAGAAGCCTTTCCTGCTGTCGGTCTTTATGGGGAATGTCAACTCGCTCTTCAACAAGTGTGATGAGCTGCTGGCACTGGTGAGAAACCGACGACTTTACAGGGAGTGTAGTCTCATGTGTTTCATGGAGAGTTGGCTGAATGACAACATGCCTAACTCCTGTGTGAATCTACCTTGCTTCTCTACTGTGCGAGTGGACAGGGACACAAAGGCGAGCGGCAAAAACAGAGGTGGGGGATTGATCATCCTTGTAAACAATAAATGGTGTCATCCTGGACATGTCACGGTGGAGGACAAGATCTGTTGTCAGGATAATGAACTGTTGGCAGTCAGTCTTAGACCGTATTATGTACCACAGGAGTTTTCACACATTGTCAAACACACAAACCCTGTGTATTAAAGTTGGCCTGTTAACACCCACTCAGTCAGGAAGTGGTCCCCGGAGACCAGTGAGTCTCTTAGGGACTGTTCTGAATTACAGCCTGGACTGTACTGGAGCCACAGGACAACAACATGGACATGGACAAGAGGGTGGACAGTCTGGCAAAATGTATACACTTCTGTAGGGACACTGTGATGCCATTAAAGACTGTACGCTGCTTGCCCAGTATTAAATCCTGGGTTAACAATAATATCAAGCAGCTCCTCAACCAGAAAAAGTTGGCGTTCAAGAAGGGGGACAAGGAGAGGCTCAGGGAGCTTCAGTATGAGCTCAAGGAGAAACTGAGACAGGCAAAGGTGGACTACAAAAGAGAGGTGGAGAGTAAGCTGCAGCAGAACATCAGACAGGCGTGGAAGAGAAAGAGGAACCTGATAGGCTATTCGAAGAAGAACTGCCAGGTTATGGATGGTGCAGTGTTCACCCTACCACTGCATTCATCCCCCCTTTCACAGTGTCACCTGCTGCTGCTGCTGCTGCTGCTGCTGCTGCTGCTGCTGCTGCTGCTGCTGCTGCTCCTGCTCCGCTGTCACCTGGAAGTAACCTACCACCCACGACCAACTACCACTGTCCTTTACAGCAGACGAGGTGAGGGCGGAGCTCAGGACACTGCGTGCAGTATGTCAAGCTTGGAAGCTGTGTCTCCAGGATGGTCAGGAGCAGCACGGGTGCTCCACAGGGAACTGTTTTAGCACTGTTCCTGTTTGCACTCAACACAGTGGACTTTAAGTACAACTCAGAGTCCTACCACATACAAAAATACTCTGATGACACAGCTATTGTGGCTTATATCAGGAGCAGGAGTACAGTGACCTTGTGGATGCCTTCAAGGACTGGTGCAGTAAGTGCTGTCTCCATCTGAACACAGCCAAAACCAAGGAGATGGTGGTGGATTTCAGAAGGAAGAGGTCATCCCATCAGCCAGTCTCCATACAGGGGGAGGACATTGAGGTGGTGCACACCTATATATATCTGGGGGTCCTCTTGGTTGAGAAGCTGGTCTGGTCTTCTAACACTGACGCCCTCCACAGGAGGGGGCAGAGCTGCGCGTTCTTCCTGCGGACACTGAGGTCCTTTGATGTATGTGTGGAGATGCTGACCATGTTCTATCACACAATGGTGGCTAGTGCACTCTTCTACGCTGCAGTGTGCTGGGGAGGCTGCTTGACAAAAACACCAAGCGATTGGACAAGTTGGTTAAAAAAGCTGGCTCAGTGCTCAGCAGGAGACTGGACCCACTAAGAACTGTGGTGGTGAGGGGCACATTGAACAAACTGAAAGCCATAATGGACAATAGCAAACACCCTCTCCACAGCCTCCTGGAGCGAGAGAGGAGCAGCTGTAGCAGCTCATCTCACTGTGTTGCAGAACAGAGCGTTTCAGGAGATCCTTCATCTCCACCGCAATAAGACTGTTTAATACCTCCTGAATCCAGTCACACACAAACTTACACACAGCACATTAGCCACAACTGGACTGAGAAATGGGCAATTTTATTTTAATTTGATTTTTAATTCCTATTTATGGACTTACTTTAATCTATTTTATGTCTATTTTAATACCACTGCGCTGTTGTTGATGAGTAGTCACTTTATCTGCTACGTTGTCTTTCTTGTAAGTTGCATGTTGCCCTTGTAAAGCACTTTGTGACCTTTGTCTTTGAGAATCACTATAAATAAGTTGTACTTTATTACTTTTACTATATTACAGCAATAGCACTGAATAAAACAGCTATTTTCAGCACTCCAGAGATGAGTGACAAAGAAATGCTGCATGGTTTGTACTGATTATGTTTCTGGTTGTTTTACACCCACCTGACACCATTTGACCACACCATATAGGTGTCTTACGATCTGGTATTTTCAACATTACCGTAACAAACTGTATGAGCTACTCTGGACTGAAATGTCCCAGTTAAGAGTTTGTTGGTCCTGGATCAGGGCTACTGTAATTTAAGAAGTTGATGTCTCTGCTTCTTCTGCATTTCCTTCTCTCTGTATAATTGCTGAAGAAGCTTTTCATCTTTATTTTAACCATCAGGGCTATGACTTCATGTAATGAATGCAGCACTGGGCATGGCCTTTGTGTACCACCTAAAACATTGTAGAGGCTTTTCCTCTGCACACAAATCTGCTCCTCATTAGTTTATAGACTTCAACAGTAACATGATCTGGAGAGTTGGATCAATCTCAACAGCTTCTTTCAAAAACTTTACTAAATGTGAAGAGACGACCCAAGATTTTACACATAACACTATGTTTCTCACAAGTCCTCCAGATAATCACTCTTCTTGTGTTTGGTCTTCACTGTATAATCACCAACACTGAAACATGCTCTTTCTGTTGACAACTCAAAGGATTTTCTGCTACCAAACTCCATTTACAGCTGCAGCAGACATCTGAATGTATGTTAAGTCTACATTTGGCCAGTAATTCACAGGAATAAAAAATACACCAAACAAAGTGGGCCCAGAAAGCAAGGCACATTGCCAATAGCTGTTTTGAAACAGTGTTTAAGAGTGGCTAAAAGTTTAAACTCTTTGTGAAGTCTGTGTGGCTGTTGAACTTGCTGATCCTGAATGAGCACCCTATTTTAGAAGCGTTTCGAACAAAGAGGCCTGGGTGAACCCCTGATCCCCTAGCTCCATTGATGTGCAGCCCCATCTGTGTTGCTTTTGTTCCTTCATGAACCACTGTGTCTTCTGATTTTCTTTGGTCTGAGAGGGTGTTCCTCTGAGTAAGACTCTCTCCCCTCTTCAACACCATTCACATTGTACAGTCTGTATCAGTCTCTCAGCTCCAGCTGATGTCATACTGCGTCCAGCCCTCTGGTGGAGCCAAGCATACCCTTCGACCCCGATACAGGAAACTGACTATGCCCCTGTAACCTGTACGAGGAACTCCAGATTTCAAGTCGTCCATCACCCCTAGATTTCGAGCAAAGACTTTAAAACTGTCCCGGCTTGAGTACTCCACCCTGTAGGGACCAGGGCCTTTTAAGCTGCCCGCTTGTTGTAGGTCCTCAATCTTCACCAGTGGGGCACTGTAAACCTCTTTTATAAACTTTTCATCATACTTCTCTTTTAGCAGATAAGACAAATCCTGTTTAGTAAAAGGCACAAATTCAGTGTTTAGCTTAATATAACGAAGGTACTGGTCAAAGAATTGACCTAAACTGACACCTTTCCGGCCAAAGGTGATGGTCCGGGAGATTTCAGGCCGGATGCAGGAGCGGTCCTTGCGCTGCTCTGGCTGACGCATCCAGTCGTCCCAGAAGGCTGAGGGCCATTTGGGTTCCAGTTCATCCCACATCTCCTTCAGTAGCATCCAGCCCAGACCAGGGAAGAAGTCTGTTCTGTAGAGGAGCTCGGCTTTGGACGGATCCACCAAGGCGTCTCTGCCGTTGTCATTCCATGCAGAAACGCACCACAGGGTGGGGTCAGCGCGCAGGATTGGGTACAGGGCTCGGAAATACTCAAAGAAGTCCTGAGCCACCTTAAATGAGAAGACAGAGATGCACAGCAGTGAGCTGCTGCTTCAGAGATATAGTCCAAACAAATCAAAAGAATCAATGAAAAGTCAGTTTACAGAAGTCAGTTCATTTGCTGAAGCACTCTCTTTATTGTCAGTTTTGGATGCAGGGGTGTCACTAGACTTAAGACTGTACTGGGGCACAGAGAATGCATGCGAGCGCGCAAAGTGCGCGAGCAAAAAGATTTTTAGCACTTATTTATAATAAAAAAACTTAAATAGTGCTTTAAACTATATAATCAGATCAGGCCTACTTGTGCACTTGCAAAATCAAATTTGGGGCGACAAAACCAGATATTTTTAGCCATTTTTCTGGTGACAAAACCGGATATTTTTAGCCATTTTTCTGGTGACAAAACAATATAAAAAGCATGATGGTGGGACATTCTGTCACTTCACAGTTGTCCAAAACATGTGGTTTGTGCCAGGTGGACATGATTGCCAGTATTTTTTCATTATTGCAAGAAATTCTATTGACTCATTCACAAGACAAAAATGTGTTTTATCTGAAAGAAACATGCAATATTTACATCTAAGATAATAGAAAATAGTCAACCAAGTGCAATCATGTCCTCCAAGGTAATATTTGTTTTTCAGTTTCAGTTATATACTGGGGGGACATTTTGGGCATTGGGGGGGACACATGTCCCCGTCAATGTATAAGGTGACTACGGCCCTGTCATGCATGCATAATTAGGCTGCAGTTGTCTGGGTGCGCAAAGATGAAGTGGCTGGTCTTGTCATACAAAGTTTGAGGAGTGTCAACTGGACAATATGGAGATATTTGCATCTTGAAAGCCAGACTACAAATGTGGATAGACAGGGAGAAACACATGCAAGCCTAAGACGTGGTAAGATACGATATTCCTCACTATATGAAGTGACTGATAACAAGATCTATATAATGGATTGTAAAGAAATTCGTCAGGTTTTTATTTTGTAGACAATTAATCTGGATTTATAGCGTGATGGGATGACAGCATAATGATGTGTGTGGTATCAGTGGAAAGCTCTGCTCCTGCGCTTTCATGTGATATGAGTGGCATTTCTGTGCGACCCTGCATTCGTGAGTAATCCATCCAAGAGTAATGTGTGTGCAAAGCTGTATGAAAGCTCTGTTATACATAATTTTAGTGTAAATTTATCTTTTTTTTTTTCGCTGTAAAAACATTGGACTACCGACAAGTGCTTGGTCTTGTCGGAAAGCTACAATTCTGCTGTTTCACGTGATATGCGTGTCTTCTCGCTATGACACACGGTCGCGGAGAAAATCCATAGAGAAGAACGGGTGTGAATTTGGACACACTTTGCGTCGTTCGGGCCCATAGTCATGTGCGCACTGTGTACGAGGAGTGAATAGAGTAGCACATGAATGAATTTCCATTAAGTAGCCATGTCCGCACTGTGTATGCTATGTGGAGTTAAAACTCTGAAGTGAATTTTTTACTGGTGAAATGTTTACTGGGGCACTGCAGATTAATACTGGGGCACGTGCCCCAGTAAAATCTGTCTGGCGACGCCGATGTTTGGATGTATTAATATCATTCATAAACTTTTAATTCAGTTGTCTGCACTTGGCAAAAAACTTTCCGACCTTTAATGAATAATTGGGTCTTATTTTCATAGTTTCAGCTATTAGTTGTAGTAATATTGTACTCACCAAGTAAACAGCCAAGATCTGGGAACACAGCAATTTAATTCAATTCAACTTTATCTATAAAGCCCAATATCACAAATCACAATTTGTCTCAGAGGGCTTTACAGCATATGACATCCCTCCATCCGACCCTCACAGCAGGTAAGGAAAAACTCCCCAAACCCTTTAATTGGGAAAATTGGTAGAAACCCAGGAAGAGCAACTGAGGGGGGGATCCCTCTTCCACGACAGACAGATGTGCAATATGTCATATTCAACGGGGGGGGAGAGTGCATTTTAGCACTCTCAGTTCCCTTATTTCAAAGTCAATGGGTTTTTTTAGGGGTTTTTGGTTAGATGCCTGTAATAAGCACAACACAAGCTTAAGAGACTTTCAGGTTTTTTTCTATGACATAAAATACATCAGTAGATATAGGGCTGGGCGGTATGACAAAATTTTCATATCATGGTTTTAAGAAAAAATCATATCGGTTTCACGGTATTTTGCTCAGGTTCGGCCAACTTGAAGTGCTGCTGTGTTGTGCTATGGCCTATTCAAGTGCCGGAATTTGTTATTTACCTGACAACGCCTGAACACACGCTCCGCTCCATTCATTTGGGCTCCACTGACTGCGTACGGAAGCGACATGTAGAGAAGCCAGCGGGGTTGTTTACCGTTTGCCGAGCCGAGAGGCTGCATGAAATATATATTACATATATTTGAGTTATCTACAAGTTTACTGTACTGTTTGTCATCTACTCGCTTTCAAATGTCCGCCACGGACATTTACACAATGTCACGGATAAACATGGATAAATGTATGAAAAATCATCACATATCACCTCTGATAATGGTTTATTCATTTAAAACACATTGTGCTCGTTTAGCACACTATTTCATGTAGTTTTTATCTGCTGGAGGGTCGCGTAGGGGAGCGTAGCGCGACAAAAATAGAAGAGCCGCGTAAAATAGAGAGTTGTCGCGCCGCTCCCGTTGCTGGTGGAGCCACTGAGGGGGGCAAGCTGCTATGGGACTCGCGCTGCAGACGTGTCACGCCGCTGACATGCCCGGTGGAGCCTGGCCGTAACTGTCTTGGACTCGGGACGGGTTGTCTTCGGTCAGGAAAGTGCGGCCTGAGCCGTGCTCTAGTGTGCTCACCTGTGTGTGTGCGTTTTGTCTGTGTGTGTGTGTGTGTGTGTGTGGGGGGGGGCATCGGGGCGAAACTCTGGCGTGCGCGATACAGAGGGCAGAGGAGAATGGTAAACGGCGGTGCACCGCTGCTAGTTGCATATAGGGGAAACACTGCTCTTTTTGGTATGAGTTCTTCTGGGTCATTGTGTACAGTTGCTTTGCTTTCAGGACTATGTTCCCCGCTTGGTTGAGCGGGGAACATAGAACCTTTTTTGTGTAAGCGGGGAACATAGAACCTTTTTTGCAGGATTTTAAAGTACATAGAAACTGGGAAACATAGGGATGACCCTCCACTCTCTCACCTCAGCTTATTTGGATCGAGCAACTGGGTGATTTATTCATGCGTAGTAATGATTATGCCTACTGATTAAACGCACGCGTCATTTTCAGTTTTTTATTAACAGAAATTAGGCTGATGTTTGTATCAAAATAGGCTATATATTATGAATTACTAGAAAACAAATACACAAATACATTCTATTAGTCCATGAGCCAGACCACCAATCATAATAGAAAAGGTGGGCAAATTCTTGTTGCTATTTTCTTTTTCAAATATGTGTCTATATTATTTATTGGCATGATAGCCATTGCAGACTGGTAGCTTAGTGATGGTTAACATGCACTGAATATATGGACCCCTATTGCGAAAACCCATTGACTGTGTATGGTGCCTATTTGGTGCTATGGTGTTTGTTAACTACTTGTTGACTACTCAGGCTGTCTAAATCAATCCAATATATTCTTAAGATATTGAAGAACTGAAAAAATGTTATTATTGGCTACCCAGATAAAATATGAGGCTGCTACAACTTTATTTTTTAAAATTCTACATAGGCGGAAATTATATTTTAATTTTTCTCTTCTGTATCTATTCACATCAGAGTAATTAGGTAATATTTACATTCTTTTAGACACCAGATTTGAAATCTCAAAAGTCTTCACCAGATTTATGGATGTAGCCCTTATAGTTCTGGAGATATACTCACTTTTATATGCGTATGGTGTTTCAAGCGGAATGTCCATATAACATGAAAGGTTTATTTATATCAAGATCCCTATGCCTATGGTAATAATAACTATATGATTCACCTGCAAGATTGATGTTTCTGAATTTAAGGAAAATGATAACATACTCATGAAACAAATCAACACTTTTTACTTTTGAAGCAATCATTTGAACAAAGAACTAGAAAAAATAGATTATGATCCTTATGTCATAGAACGTGGAGCACACTAGTACAGTATTTAAAGTATTTCAAGGCCCTACTCAAGATCAGTCGTCAGTTTCTGAGTAAGTCAGGTCTGCATCTGTGATAGTGCTACACGATTAATCTAATCACAATCAATCGCACAGATACCATTTAGGCCTATTTATTATATTGTAATCGCAATTGCAATTGCAAATCGCGATATTGTCCACCAAAATTGCAATCGCACATTTTTCTCAAATCGTGCAGCGTTAATCTGTGATCATCATGTGAAGGTCATCCTCTTGGGGTTGATTGTCACATGTTTGCAACTTGCACAGGTTGGTACATTTCAAGCCATTGCTCATGCACTGGCATTCTGGAAGCTTGCATCTACGACTGCAGTTGCAGGACGGCAGCTGCAGCACTGCCTCAGGGGCTGGAGATCCCCGCATCCATTCCAGGGTGAGCTGACCATCATCATTTCTGGCCCAGCCATGTTGCACTGGGCTTCGGATTTGGAACTGTTGCTGTAGACTACCTCTACAGATGCCAGCCTGGTAGTTGGCATGCATAACATGCATAAAGAGGCAGTCCTCGCATGGTGGTAGCTGGCTAGATTCAAGCTCCCCACGCCATGCACAGAAAAGTTGGTAGCAGGCTGTGTTGATATCGTCTGTCATCGCAGGTGCTGAGCAGACCTTCTCTCAACTTGCAGACTTGGTCCTGAATCAAATCCTACATGAAGGAGCCAGAAGCCAGGGGATTGATGTGGTCTTCAATGTATATCGCGAGGAATCAATCAAGTATGCAGAGAGAGAGAGAATCGGGGGTGCACCACAGGAATACAGTTCCAAAACATTGCACTAGGTCACCTGATTCAGCAATGGAGAAGGTTTCCTGGGAGCTCAGCCAACAAGACAAACCTCATAAGGTTCTTGGTGGTTGA